TGATTTTTTTTTTTTTTTTTTTTTTTTTTTTTTTTTTTTTTTTTAGATTCCACATTGGAAGATGAGGCTACTGTTGGGCCGATTTTTGTCCATGAATTTTTGTCAGTGGAGGATGAGCCTCATATTCACAAGTCTTCTCAGGTGTCGTCAAAAGATGCAGGTGACCATGTTAACATCTTTCAGAAAAATCTGAATCTTACAGACCCCAACCTTTTGAACGGTAGTGTATGTTGACTATTAAATGCACTTTTTTTTTTTAAAGCGTCTCAAAAACATTAAGATGGCACTTCAAGTTAAAAAGTTCAACTTTTAGAAGATCAGAAGAACAGCATTTCTTCTGAAATTTAAATCATTTTTAACCATATAAATGTTTTTATGGTCAGTTTTGGTCAATTTTAATGCATCCTTGCTGAATAAAAGCATTAATTTCTGAAATCTTACATTCCCTGGATTCTCATGGTAATGCGTTTTACTTGGAAAAATAAGGCAAGTCTTGGGCCCTTTGTAATTGTCAAACTTTCTGGAACATGTTATATTGAACTACTGCAAAACTATTGCAAGTTTATTCATGGATTTACATCTGTGAAAAATCACCTTGAGACCACCATAATTGAAAAAGTGGCTCAGAAAAGTGATGTTGGCCACATTAAAAGTTACTTAAGAGTCCAAATATGTTTTGGGGCCACTGCAGATACAAAGATGTAGGTCTCTGTCACCATCCCTTACTTCTCACCTTCTTTTTTTCTAGAGTTCTCCATGGAGTTGGTGCTCATGACTGGTTTGGTGGTTGCAGTTGGACTTGTGTGTGTCGTTGTCCTTGGAACGTTGTTTTACCAAAGGCGGCAGAGACGGCTTGTGTTAACTTGTGAATGACGATAAAAGCTGTTTTATCTAAATGGATGTGTTTGTTTCTTTGGTCTGGTGTTGCCTGAAGTTAGATGGTTAAAGCCCATTAGCTTCTTGTTTCTGTTCAGGGGATCCCATTTGTAGTAAATGACCCTTCAACTTTTAAAAGGGCTGATGCAGCACTGGTTTGGAGCACAGTAACAATTTGCTGCTCATGGTTTTTCAGTGTTTTGCTGTAAAAGTGACAAATACACTGGTGTACGTGTCTGAGTGTGCTTCTATGCTTTTAGAGGGCAAAAAAGTTGAATAGATCTGGCTGATAAGATTGTTCAACCACTTTTTATTAAGAAAATATTGAGTGTGCAATGAAATCAAACTAAATTTGACTGTATGCTACTGTTGAAAAATTAGGTGTCACTGACATTTAATTTCTTATAAATGCTATTCTTGAGTTTTCTATTTAAAACATTCTGAAAAAAATGTATCTGTGTCTAAAATATCAGGGATCACAACAAAATGTTTCTTGAGCAGCAAATCAGCATATTAGATTGATTTCTGAAGGATCATATGACACTGAAGACTGGAGTAAAGATGTTGAAAATTCAGCTTTGCATCACAGGAATAAATCACATTATTCGAATAGAAAATACCTATTTTAAATTGAAGTAGTTGAGCATAAGTGACATTTAATACACACATACATATATGTGTGTGTGTGTGTGTGTGTGTGTGCTGTCAAACAATTAATCTCGATCCAAAATAAGTTTTGTTTACATAATATATGTGTGTGTGTACTGTGTATATTTATGTATATATAAATGCACACATGTATATATATATATTTTGGAAATATTTACATGTATTTACATATACATGTATATATTTATATTCATGTAATTTATATATATAAATATATTTAAAATATAAACATAACATATTTCTCTTATATATATGCATGTGTGTGTATTTATATATACATAAATATACACGGTACACATATTATGTAAACAACTTTTTTGGATGCGATCAATTGTTTGACAGCACTACTATATATATATATGTGTGTGTGTGTGTGTGTATATATATATATATATAAATATATATATATATATATATATATATATATATATATATATATATATATATATATATATATATATATATATATATATATATATATATATATATATATATATATATATATATATATATATATATATATATATATATATATATATATATATATATATATATATATATATATATATATATATATATATATATATATATATATATATATATATATATATATATATATATATATATATATATATATATATATATATATATATATATATGTGTGTGTGTGTGTGTGTATGTATATATATATATATACTGTATATATCTTAATCCCACATGTAGATCTTTAATTGGTTATATAAACCTTGTTTGACCTCTGAATAAAAGATTTGAGATTGCTTCCAAAATGTCTATTTACGTTCCAAGCTTGGTTATTTTTCTCTTTAGAGAGCATGGAGCAGTGAGAATAATACACAGCCACTTGCATACAAATCCAATTTTATATTTTGGTGACTGAGTTTTATGGTCCATGTCTTGCATTTGAAACGGACTGCATCCCTGCACAGGGCTCATGGGAACAGGAAGACAAATAGACGTAATTAAAATGGTCATAAAAGCAATAGGAAGCTTTATTAATATGAAGTGGGGCATAGAAGTATAATGGTGTGTTTGTAGCCGGCTGATGTTGTGTTATTTTTGTGTGTTTTACAAACATATCCATTGACTCGCAGTGACCCAGTAATGAGTAATAAACCACATGTTTTATGGTGCTGCTGTTTGCTGCCCTCCAAATGCCCAGAAAGAGATGCTGGCGATGGTAAAGAGGGAATGCTCATGTGGAAATTATTATAATTCACGGCAGTTATGATAAATTACTAAATGTTGTTGTGAAAAAAAAATTGCGTCACTGTTTTTAAAGACCAGGTGCTATCAAATCACAAAATGTTTGTATGCAAAATAAATGTTTTAAAAGGAATTAAAATTACAATAAAGTAATACATTAAATTGATTGAAATAGCCATAAAGGCAAGCAAATATATCACTTTTTTTTGTTCCCCTGTATGTGTGTGTGTGTGTGTGTGTGTGTGTGTGTGTGTGTATAGATAGATAGATAGATAGATAGATAGATAGATAGATATGTATGTTTGCATATTAACATTATGGATTGATGCACAGCTGTACAATAAAATGCAATAAAAAAATTCGACAAAAAAGTTATAAACGAGTAAAAAGTGCCTGCAACCAGATAGATAAATATTGATATAGCCATGTATGTATGTATATTAACGTTATGGATTGATGCACAGCTGTAAAATGCAATAAAAAATTATACAAAAAATAATTATAAAAGAGTAAAAAGTGAAAAAAAATTTTTACATTTTTTAAATTTTTTCAGACTGTATTTTGTGATGTTTTCCAGTAAAAAGTCTAAACTTTCTTAGAATAAGATAAATTTAACTGGGAGTCAAAACTTCTTGAGATATTACTTTCAAGATAATATATTTTGAATATGTGTATTTTGATATGTACATTAGATTTTTTGTTGTTGTATCTATATCTCAAATATATTTGAGCATTTTTTAATAACAAACAATGTATCTGTAATATATACAATATTTTTAAAAAGCCATTATTTTTCATATCAATAAAGCACTTCAGTTATTGTACTCTCTCTGCAAATGACCCTGTTCCTCTAGTATTTGAATGAGGAAGGAAGACCAACCCAGATAAAGATGACAAAAGGCCTCCTGTCATGAAGCGAGACGAACCCTGTCAGAGCTCATAATTAACCCCCTTAATGAAGACCCCCGTCAACAATGAAATGTTCATAATGGAGGAGGAGATTTAATTACCTTTCTTTTGCAGCCCAAGTTCCAGACACTCAGGAAACAATTAAGTTCCTGTTAGTCTGTGTAATGGCCCAGAGTCTGGGCTTCTCTGACCTCCTCTATTAATAACACATGCATGTCTTCAGATCACAGACTTCACTTCAGTGTATTCAGGAAATGACGAGCCAATTGTCTTGGTAAAATGAATGAACACAGAGGTCATTTCAGCAGTTAATTCTGGATTCTGTAGTGATGAATTATTACCTTTTCCATTTTGAAGTGTTCATATTCATACCATTTCACTTGTCGATGCTTGTTGTCTACTACATGGACAAATCTTTATAAGACATTTTAGCCATTCAGGTTGTGATGTTACATCCAAACCACCATGGATGATGACCTTTGACCCTATAATTCTATATGACTGTTTTCTTTATATTAAAGCATAAATTCAAACTGATAAATGTGACCCTGGAGCACAAAACCAGTCTTAAGTCGCTGGAGTATATTTGTAGCAATAGCCAAAAATACATTGTATGGGTCAAAATTATTGATTTTTCTTTTATGCCAAAAATCATTAGGGTATTAAGTAAAGATCATGTTCCATGAAGATATTTAGTAAATTTACTACTGTAAATATATCAAAACTTAGTTTCTGATTAGTACTATGCATTGCTAAGATCTTCATTTGGACAGCTTTAAAGGCGATTTTCTCAATATTTAGATTTTTTTTTGCACCCTCAAATTCCAGATTTTCAAATAGGCTAGTTGTTTCTCGGCCAAATATTGTCCTGTCATAGTAAACCATACATCAATGGAAAGCTTATTTATTCAGCTTTCAGATGACCTATAAATCTCAATTTCGAAAAATTGACCCTTATGACTGGTTTTGTGGTCCAGGGTCACAAATGTCTTTACCACACTCTAAAAAATGCTGGGTTAAATACAACCCAGTGCTGGGTAAAATAGGGACAAACCCAGCAATTGTGTTGTTTTGACCCAGTGGTTGGGTTACTACCCAGAAGGTTGGGTTAAAAATTTAACCCAACCGCTGGGTCAAAACAGCCCAATGGCTGGGTTTGTCCCTATTTTACCCAGCACTGGGTTGTATTTAACCCAGCATTTTTTAGAGTGCATGTACCTCTAGAATATTTACCATTCTTCTGCTGCAAAGGACAAATGTGTACCCCAACATGTTCCAGTGCTGAACAAGAACAGGAACCAGAAACAAGAAAAAACACACACATGATACCTGCGCAAAATCCTCTATAATTCCCCACACACTCTAAAAAATGCTGGGTTGCTTCAACCCAACATTGGGTCAAATATGGACTAACCCAGCTGTTGGGTTAAATTTTTACATTCAAATTTTAACCCAAAAGTTGGGTTAGTCCATATTTGACCCAAAGTTGGGTTGAAACAACCCAGCATTTTTTAGAGTGCAGCTTTCAAAAATGCTCTGTGTGAGCATATCTTGTTTTTCTTTATTCTAGTAAGGACACACAATCCTAGTCTCACATGTCCCTCATGTCTTGATTTTGATTTTGTGCACACTGCTGTGCTACACTTACTATTGTTACAGTATGTGTAGTAGTATGTACAGTATATTATGCACAATCTCTGAATGTTCTGTATGCATGGAATATCTGGATGACAATGCAATGCGACGACTTGATGAATGAACCTAAAAGTAATGTCAGCAATTATGTCGTTTACTCATTATTTGATTAGACAGCCAAATATAAATGCATTTCATTTATACTGCTGCACATACTACCAAAAATATAAGGTAGTAGTGTGTAGTGTAAGTATAGGCACACTTTCCGTAAGAAGAAGACGAACATAGCCTGTATAATGCTACCATCTGCTGGTAAATTACCAGTTTGCAGCAAAAAAATAAAATAAAATAAAGTGTAAGAAAAAAATGAAAAATAAAATTAGTTTATTCCTTTAGGGGGCGCTCGGCTGCTCTGAAAGTCAAATCTTCCATTGAGTCCCATTCAAATCTTAGGACGTTTTTTGTCTTACTGTAAACATTTACGTTGTAAAAAAAAAAAGTGTGATAATTTAAATCAATTAATTCTAACATTTGGTATTTTACATACAGTGGAAATCCACTGCAGCCGCAATTTTTTTTTAAACGATCATTCAGTAATCACAACGAACTGTGATTGGACAATTCTTATTAGCGTTGAGAAAAGTATCACGGCCCATGACAGCGCTTTGCTATTGGATTAGTGCGCTAGGACCATGCGAAGCATCACCAAACGGCCGTCTTTGGGGTGACGTCGGTCTGTCCCGGTGTTATTGTGTAAGTCATGGATGGTGGAGTTGAACGGGTTGAGTTTATGACTGCAAGGACATACAGCAAACGCAGACGTTTAATTGATTTAGCAGCACTAACGTTCATCTGAGGGGATACTTATTCAAGCACGCACTCGAAAGACTAGAAGAATCTCAGTGACATTTGAAACAGGTTAGTTAGTTCATAATCTAATTGGCCTAACTCAAGTTTATATGAGCGTGGTATCAGATCGTAATACTATGTTACTTTGATATACATGGTAATAAATTACACTTACAAAGAAGAACTGTCAGTTTCGACATGGTAGAGTAGCGTGGTAATATCATGTTATGCATGCTGTGTACCATGGTGGTGTATTAGTAAGTTGGTCGTTTATATATGAAGAGTTTATATATGCCGTTTTAGATTTACTTCTAAAATGAGCATTTTTATTTGGCTTCTATGTGTAGGTTCAGTCATTTCACTTTAATGGCATTAAGTTCTTTTCATTGCCATTAAAGTGAAATAACTGAAGTTCGAACCTAGACACAGGAGCCTGAGAAAAATACACATTTTAGAAGAGAACTTCAGACGGCATTGTTTTTTTAATTGTTTTCCTCTTTTTCATTAGTTTTTTTTTTTTTGTCTACATTGTTTTTATTCATTTTAGGCTTTTTTTATTTTTTTAAGTACATCAAATTAAACTAAATAAAATAGGGAAATGCTTGTTGCTATTTTTAATATTAAGTAATAGCCTAATTTTTTCTTTATGGTTTTAGTTTTAGTATAGTTTAACTCTGGTACAGACAGTACTTTCTACGTTTACTATGGTAGTATACTGTTTTTGGGCATGTACCATAGTAATACTTATTTCTTTGCACATATACTATGAAAATACAACATTTTCCACTTGCACATGACATTACTGTGGTATTCTTTGTACCTTATAGTAAATACCTTGGAGTAAACATGATAGTTTGTGAATATGGAATCCATACAGTACCATAGATTTTTTTTTTTTTTGGTTGTGGGAAATAAAAGTTGATCAGGTTTCCTTACCATATTGTTTTTTCCAGATATTCTTTGTGTGGGTCCATCATCATCATCATCATGGTGGAGATGAAGAGTTACTGTGAAGCGGGGGTCTCCATGCAGCAGGTCTGGGTGGAGGGTGGTCTGACTCTGTGCTTCTACTTCACCCTAGTGTCATCCGTCCTCCTCACCCTCTCCTTCCTCTTTGGCACGTTTCTGTGCATATGCTACAGCCGTTACGGCACAGCCATGGAGCCCAAGTTCATCCCTCGCTCTCGACTCTACTGGCTCCAGGTGGGCCTGTCGGTGCTGCTCGTCCTGCAGGCTCTGGGCTGGATGGTTTTTCGAATCGCTCGCAGCGGAGAGCTGCCGGGATACGTGGTTGTGTACGGCTGTCTCTCCATGCTGGGCTGGATTTGGGCCGTGGCCCTGCTGCGTCTGGAGAGGAGGAGGGTTCTGGTGCGGGACAGAACCAGAGGTCACAGTACGGTACTGTTGCTGTACTGGGCTGTAGCGTTTGCTGCCGAAAGCCTGGCGTTTGTGTCGTGGATGAGCCCTCAGTGGTGGTGGACTCTGGAAACGTCCGATCAACAGGTAAGTGTGTGTGTGATTGTTTATGTTAATGAAATTTGCATATGGTAATATGTTGCATTAATATAAGTATATGGGATTTTTTGCCAGTTTATCATCGACCAAGTAATGGAAAGTAATGGCTTACCTCTCTTTAACATCATTTATATTGAATTATGTTAAGTTATGCACCAGATTGTAGTACTGTGGGTACTTTTTTAGTGGTTTTTTTAAAGTGCCCTTATTTTGGGTAATGAAAGGTTCATGTTTTGGGAGTCCCCAACAACAGGTTCACATGCATGCAAGGTCAAAAAACACTTTCATTGTCTTATAATATGCATTTATTTTTACCTTACTTGCTCAACGACTCCCAAATGATTCGCTCAATTATTCATTTTTCCAAACCCCTCCTTTGTGTGACGCTAATCTGCAGTGATTGGTCCGATTGGTCTCATTTTCATTTCATCATGCCTGTAATGCCTGATAAAGCAGCGTTTGTGAACGCAGTGCTGTTTTGTTTACAGCCGTTACCGGGAAAACAGCTATTTTACCGCTCCAAAAGCTGCACCTAGTGGCAAAGAATGAATTTGCATTTTCATTCAGACCACAATGCGAAAAGACCAACAAGTGGGCGGGCAATATGCTAATGTTTCATGTTGACGTCACTTGAAACGGCTTGGGATTCGTTTTAAAAACGACTCGTTTCAATGATTCAGAGTCGACTCTTTCTTTTGAGAGACAATAACTTTATACACAGTGCACTTTCAGATTTAAAACTTTGCAGGATGTTTTCATTCACTCGCTGTGTTGCACAATGCATGAAAGGTAATTTTCAAAAATCCATAATAGGGGCACTGTAATGTATTGTAGCCTATATTGTATTATCTATTTCTGTACCATAACCTTTGGCACTGATGCCATTGTTCTGTCTTAAGTGGAAGTGTTTGAAAGTGGTGACAGATGTAGGAATCCTGCTCACACACCATGACTCAGCATTATGGTAATAGCGTGAAATGATTATTTATTTACAATAAAGTTTCAGGATCCAGCAGATGAGGTTTAACAACTCAGCAATGACTCAGCAATTCTGTCAAGTTTGATGGTCATTGAAAAATAATATTGTTGAGTCATTATGTGTCTTTAAATAGTAGACAGTGACATGTGGAAATATTGTCGAGTCATGGTCAGTTCTAGCTGCGTTCCTTCCCGCTTGCATTAGCCACACCCCAACTGTTCAAGATTGACCAGTCAGATAACAGATTTTGTGACACTTCATGACGTGGAAGTTTCACTCCACTCATTCTAGTCTTGCTGTAAACATTGAATGTTGAATGCATGTTGTAAAAAATGGCAATAAATTGGCCAGATTTTCCTAAAAAAAGCATTTACACAAATAGTCCAGTTTTCAAATAAAAAAACCTTTGCAAATGTACGTCATGCCTGTAATGCCTGATAAAGCAGCGTTTGTGAACGCAGTGCTGTTTTGTTTACAGCCGTTACCGGGAAAAAAGCTATTTTACCGCTCCAAAAGCTGCACCTAGTGGCAAAGAATGAATTTGCATTTTCATTCAGACCACAATGCGAAAAGACCAACAAGTGGGCGGGCAATATGCTAATGTTTCATGTTGACGTCACTTGAAACGGCTTGGGATTCGTTTTAAAAACGACTCGTTTCAATGATTCAGAGTCGACTCTTTCTTTTGAGAGACAATAACTTTATACACAGTGCACTTTCAGATTTAAAACTTTGCAGGATGTTTTCATTCACTCGCTGTGTTGCACAATGCATGAAAGGTAATTTTCAAAAATCCATAATAGGGGCACTGTAATGTATTGTAGCCTATATTGTATTATCTATTTCTGTACCATAACCTTTGGCACTGATGCCATTGTTCTGTCTTAAGTGGAAGTGTTTGAAAGTGGTGACAGATGTAGGAATCCTGCTCACACACCATGACTCAGCATTATGGTAATAGCGTGAAATGATTATTTATTTACAATAAAGTTTCAGGATCCAGCAGATGAGGTTTAACAACTCAGCAATGACTCAGCAATTCTGTCAAGTTTGATGGTCATTGAAAAATAATATTGTTGAGTCATTATGTGTCTTTAAATAGTAGACAGTGACATGTGGAAATATTGTCGAGTCATGGTCAGTTCTAGCTGCGTTCCTTCCCGCTTGCATTAGCCACACCCCAACTGTTCAAGATTGACCAGTCAGATAACAGATTTTGTGACACTTCATGACGTGGAAGTTTCACTCCACTCATTCTAGTCTTGCTGTAAACATTGAATGTTGAATGCATGTTGTAAAAAATGGCAATAAATTGGCCAGATTTTCCTAAAAAAAGCATTTACACAAATAGTCCAGTTTTCAAATAAAAAAACCTTTGCAAATGTACGTATATAATAAAATACATTTAAAATAATTGAGTTTTATTTTTTTTCAGCACAGTTAATTTGTACAACTCTGTATACAGCTTATTATTATTACATTTACCATCGTAATTATCTCAGGACAATCAAATAGCTGTGTGTGTGTGTTATAATGAAATATTATATTTTTAATTAACCTTTAACACATTATCAATAATTATAATTTTTTTTAAATTATAATTATAAATTTAAATATATAATTATAGATGTTAAGTAAAACTGAAATCTAAAATTCAGTCTAGATTTTTTTATTTATAACTCCCATTTTTTTATTTAAATTAAAACATTTCATATTTAAATCTGTTTGTTTTTATGTGCTTTGTTTTAAATTGGTTAAACACCTCATACTAATGCTACAATTGTTTTCATTGGTAACTCACTAACTACAGAAGACAAATTCAGTCAGCTACACTGGATAAACTGCAATCAAATCCATGCTACATAATAACATTTTACTTAAAAAAAATCTGAAAACTTTGAAGACATTAGGCTTTTTTTAAAAGCTAATGACTAAAACAAAACGTGAGACGCATTATAGTAATGTCACTCTTTACGCTTAGATGATATCAGAGAGATGTATGATTCAAGAAGATACAAACAATAGCAAATCATTATCATTCTGTACATAATATTCATTGTCTGCAGATGGAGTTTGCTTTCTGGCTGGTGCGGTACTTCAGCTCAGGTCTGCTGTTCCTGTTAGGCCTCAAAGCTCCAGGCTTGCCACGCCGACCGTACATGCTTCTGGTCAATGAAGACGAGCGAGATGTGGAGCACGGAGCAGTAAGACATTACATTCACTCTCAAATCTTACTTATGTAATAATAATTAATCTTATTAATGCATCTCTTGCATGTTTTTTTTTTAGCTTCTTTTAGGTAATTCTAATGAGAATCAGTCTACATGGAAAGATTTTGGGAAGAAGGTGCGTCTGTTGGTGCCGTACATGTGGCCTAAAGGCAGCGTCCTGCTCCAGCTGCTGGTTCTGCTTTGTCTCGGGATGCTGGGAGTGGAGCGCGTCATTAATGTGTTTGTGCCCATCTACTACAGGAACATAGGTACAGAATAAGACTCTTATTTAGTCAAGAATCAATTATTTATGCACACACACATATATATATATATATATCTATATATATATATATACAGTATATATATATATCCACTAGAAAGAACTACACAATGAAAAAAAAACCAGCAATTGTAGCACAAAGTGTAAGAAACCAGATGGACTTGCCAAACACACCCACTTGTCGGCCCTGGCAGGTAGGCGGGTTTTACATGCTAACACATTGATTTCCTTCTGTCACAGTGAACCAGCTGACAGATGGGAGCTCCTGGAAGACTCTGGCGACTACAGTGTGTGTTTATGGGCTTCTGAAGTTCCTGCAGGGAGGTGGAGCTGGTGAGGGAACATCTCCCAATTGAATCTCTATTTAATGTAACGTGAAATATCCTTTAGAGTTCGACAACAATCTGATCTCCATTTGTTTCCATCTGCAGGAGCGTCTGGGTTTGTAAGTAACATGCGTTCGTTCCTGTGGATTCGAGTGCAGCAGTACACTAACCGCGTGGTCCAGGTGCGTCTCTTCGCTCATCTGCACTCTCTGTCTCTGTCCTGGCACCTGGGCCGCCGCACAGGGGATGTCCTGAGAAGCATCGACAGAGGAACTTCATCCATCAACAGCCTGCTGAGGTCAGACCTAAAAAATTTTTTAAAATTAGCATTAGCTTTAGATTATACTGCATCTTGATACCAAATACCTTCTTATCTCAAGCACTGGAATGCAAGTATAAACAAGGTCAAGTAGGTTGGTGTGCAATATTAATCTTGAATGCATTATCATTTTAAGTACAGATAGAATGCTTGGGCAGTAAAAGTGATCTCAGTTTGTATTATCTTAAATACATATATATTATTTTTTGTTTAATCCGACAGCTACATCGTGTTCAGCATCTTCCCCACTATCGCTGACATTGTCATCGCCATTGTCTATTTCATATCCAATTTCAATGCCTGGTTTGGCCTCATAGTCTTCGTTTGCATGGCCCTCTACCTCAGTAAGTATCTAACAATTGTCATTTAGAAATGTGAATACATGAACACACACATTGCTGAAGATACTGTAGTTGCTTCTTTTCTGGATTCTTTTTGTTTGTTTGTGTTTTCTGGTTAAAGGGATAGTTCACCCAAAAATGAAAATGTGATGTTTATCTGCTTACCCCCAGGGCATCTAAGATGTAGGTGACTTTGTTTCTTAAGTAGAACACAAACAGAGATTTTTAACTCAAACCATTGCAGTCTGTCAGTCATATAATGGAGGTGAATGGGAATCACGGCTTTGGGAGTCAAAAAAACATACACTAACAAAACCAAATTAAACCCTGCGGCTCGTGACGATACATTGATGGGTAAAGACACGAAACGATCGGTCTGTGCAAGAAACCGAACAGTATTTATATTCTTTTTTACCTCTGGTTCACCGCAATGTCCGAACTGTCCTGAGCGCGTTCTCAACAGCCTGCGTGACGCGTCTTCTTCTTCTTCTTGCTTTACGGCGGATCGCAGACTTATAAGTGCATTACCGCCACCTATCTCTCAAATGGACCATTGACATTCTATCTACAATCTCAGTTAGGAGTGACAATGGTCCACCTACATCTTGGATGCCCTGGGGGTAAGCAGATAAACATCAAATTTTAATTTTTGGGTGAACTATCCCTTTAAGTAAATTATAACTCTTAAGTAATGGAATAACTATGTATATTGACTTATTGTCTTGTAACCAAAGTCTTGTTTACACTTGAAGGGCAAATAGAATGTGAATATCTTGTCTAGCTGGTTCGGGTGTGTAATTGGAGGTTGGGATAATGGTTAGGTTGTTTGTTCGCATATTGTGCAGAACATATACTGCCTTCTGCAAGTGTAGCAGCTGAAACAGAATGCAGTATGCAAATATTTATGCTATATTTTTTGTCACACCATTGCATAATGTTTGTTAAATAAAAACGATTCAAAATAATTTTCAGTTATTGAAATGAAGCTAAAATTACATAAAATATAAATATTAGATGGAAAAACTTTAAAAACATAAATGAACAAATTAGAAATGTTGCCTTCACAACTAAAGTTAAAGTACAAAAATTACTAAAAGTAAAACTGAAATAAAAATAAAGCTAAATAGATGTGGGGAAAAAATGACAAAAGCATATAACAAAATACTAAAACATTAACTAAAATTATAAAGAAAACTGAAAATATGAATTCAGTATAAATTCAAGCTAATATAAAAAAAAAACTTCAGTATATAAATAATACCAAAATAGCACTGTCAGCATGGATGGGAATCACGGCTTTGAGAGTCATAAAACATACACAAACAAAACCAAATTAAACCCTGCGGCTCGTAACGATACATTGATGTGTAAAGACACGAAACGATCGGTCTGTGCAAGAAACCGAACAGTATTTATATTCTTTTTTACCTCTGGTTCACCGCAATGTCCGAACTGTCCTGAGCGCGTTCTCAACAGCCTGCGTGACGCGTCTTCTTCTTCTTCTTGCTTTACGGCGGATCGCAGACTTATAAGTGCAT